CCTCAGGCCTTTCCCAGGCTGCGGGGCTCCTGGCCTGGGTCCTCCTGAGGTCAGAAGCGCAGCCCTGGCTCCCAGGGCCAGGAGGCTTCGGCCACGGCCCCTGCGTGGGGTCCACACGGTCCGGAGGAGAGCCTGCCTGCCGGGCCTCTGGCTCGCTAGGTTGCACCCCGAACCCAGCATAACTATCTCCCACATCAGCCCAGCGCGTCACTGTCCCCAGAGCCGAGGCCCTGGAGCTGGTGCTAGCGTCTGCTTGTCCTGCCCCAGTGATGTTGGTGCTGATCAGAGGGGCTGCCCTGGAGGGGCGCGGCCTCATTGTCCTGAGGGGTGAGGAAGGGGCTCCCGAGCCCCTGTCCCCTGCCACCCCTTGTCCTGCACATTGTCACCCTGCTGAGCCAGCCTGAATGGACGGGCCACCTTGTGGGGGACACACAGGGACTCCGGGGGCACCTGTCCCCCGACTGGAATGAGGGGTGGAATGGTGACCCCACACCCCATCCATGAACAATGGCTCAAGCGGATGAAACAGAACAATCTATAGACCCCACGTTCAAGGCAAAGCTGGGAGAAAAAAACGGAACAGTGGCAGAGCAAAGGTGTGGTTGGGGGAGTTCGGCCTGGGCAGAACCCCCCAGATAATGGTGAGGGGGGGCGGGGGGGCGGGTGTGGCGCTCAGAAGGAAGCAGGACGGGGAGAGGTCAGGGTGAGAAATGTCAGCACAGGAACAATGCCCATGCATAGCTTCCCTGCCCCTGCTAGTGGCACAGAGTGGCTTCCTGTGCTCCACTCTGCTCCTTCCACCTCTGTGAGGGGTGCTGAGGAGCTCAGGGGCTGGGGGTCTGCAGGCTGCTCCCCCTGGGGGAAGGACTGGGAGTTAAGGCCCTGGACAGTGTCCCTCACCCGCTCCTCCCCTGCACCCTTCAGCCTTGGGCCTCTGGGCTGGCCAAGCTCAGTTTGTCCAGCCACAGTGGGTGCTTGTCTGAATGGTTCTGGTCCTTGGGGACAGATGGGAGAGGACCTGGGGCCCAGCCAGAGGGGCGCTAGCCCAATGGAGGGTGATCTCTGTATGGCGTGGTCTGAAATCCCTGACATGTGCCTGACCTGCAGTGAGGTGCGGGGTGCTTACAATAGGCTGAGGCAGGAAAGCCTGAAGACCAGAACTAAAGCACACAGGAAGGGGTTAGTCTGCAGTAAGGACTTCCGCTCCTCCTAAAGAAGGGAATGGTAGAGCCAGGAAGACTGCAGCCTCCTCTGCTGGATCTAGAGCGCCCTCTGGTGGTCCATAGGCTTCATGGCGACAGAGGCTCTGGGCCAGCCTTCCTCCTCTTCCTCTTCCTCTGCCCCCACCCTGACGCCCCTTCTCATTGCCCCTCTGTGGTCTCAGGACAGGGATGTAAGTAGCACCTAGGTCAGTGGTGGCGAACAGCCGGCTGTTCTTTTGCCTTTGAAAGCTCTGAAAGGTTCGCCATCCCTGATCTGCTTCCTGCTTCTTATGACCTTGTTAGGCCTGGGGCTCACAGGCAGCCGCCCCAGTTGAGGCTCAGGACGGCAGCAGTTTAGGAGCCTGGATTTCTGCACAAGCATGGGCCTGGCCCTGGAGAGGACCCACCTGGTAGGAAGTGGCATCCTAATGGGAGTCCAGCGGGTCCAGGGAGGGAGGAGTTTGTCACCGCTAACATCCTTTTCTGCCCCAAGGCTCTAATACTGTGTTAGAGAGAAGGGCCCCTGTTCCCTGGGCACAAATAAAAGGAATCAGAGTCCTTGATGACCATGGTGTTTATCGCCCCAGACAGCTGGGCCTGACCCAGGCTGCTCTGTAACTGTGACAAGGACCCCAGGGACTGGCAGTTGCCTGGCACTTCGCTGTGGGCCCTTCTACCCACGTGTGCAGGCTGGCAGGGCAGTTACAGCCTCGCCCTCCCCCCTTTCCCCAGGGGAAGCTGTCTTTTAGGGACAAGAGGCTTCTTCTGGCTCATGGCTTCTTCCTTGAAGCAGGAGAGGAGGGAGATAAGAGACTCCCAGTAGGAGAAGCCAAATATCATCATCTTCCAGCAATGGTTCGGGGGTCCCGCCCAGGTCCTGACATGCTGAGCAGGTGCTCTCTGGCTGAGCTGCAGCTGCCCGCTGCCTTCTAGAGGTGATGTCCCCTGCAGAGCTGGCAGCACATCAGGCCCGGGTGTCTGGCTCCTCCACACTCAGAGGTACCTGGGCTTCATCTGTGCACTCACCCGGTACCTGAAAGGCAGGGGAGGGGCAGGGTCACCCCAGGGAGCCACAGGGACAGCACAGGGGTATCCACCAGTGGAGGAGGGGCAGGTGTGGCCACAGGATGAGGTGAGGCTAGGCGGCCTGAGCTGTGTCTTACCTCCCAGCACATCTGGTCCTCGTAGCACTGGGAGTCCGGGGGAGAGTCCAGGAAGGGCAGCCTCAGCAGGAACCCTAAAGGCAGCAAGGAAGGGTGTGAGAGGTCACCCCCACTGCTGCCAGTGCCCAGGGTGCGGAGGCAGAGGCCGGAGGCATCGTGACAACATGGCACCCGGTGTAGGAGAACCACAGCCATGTTGTGTACCAGGCCCTGTGCCAAGTGATTGACGCATTGCTCTCCTGAGAAAGCACAGCAACCCTAGGAGGTGAATATCATCCCTGTGTTACAAAGCAACCAAGGGCCGGAGATAGGAGTAATTTGCTCAGGTTTGCACGTGTGGCAGCTGATCACATTGTGACTCACAAGCCACAGCTGCTGCACCTCCTACGTCCTCCTACATAGCAGGGCACCGGAATATTTATCATACAATCAAGTTACTCAGTGAGCGAGCCGAATTTCAGAGGGTGACAGCCTCTGGGGTCCTGGGTTGGCTCTGAGCCTTAAGGCTAGACATCAGAAAGCACCTCCAGAATAGGGCCCAGGATGGTCTGCCTCTCTGGAAGAGGCTGGGGCGCAGGTGTGGGCTGGGGGTGAGGCCAGATGGCCTAGTGGCCCGGCCAGGCCTCAGCCTGAGGCAGGGCTGCCCTCTAGTGGGCTGGGGGAGCAGCACAGGGGAGCCAGCCAGGAGAAGACTGGCAGACCAAAGCTAGCCCGGAGCCAGGGCCCACCTGCACCTCTCCACCCCAAGGAGGCTGCCCCAGCCCCTCGACCTGCCCCTCCCCTGGCACAAGGTAATATCTGCACCACAAATCCATGAGCAGAGGGAATCAGTGTCAAGGACAGGATCCTGGCGCCCTCCTCTTGAGAACCCCTCCTCTGTTCCCCCTAGAGCCCGGGCAAGCCCCGCCCAGCCAAGGCCACTCACCAACGAGACTGCCGCCCACCAAAGCAAACGCCATGGTGACACACAGCCCAAGGAGCTGGTACACGGCCTGCGAAGTGGCGCCACGCTGGCCCTCGGCGATGAGTGGAAACACGGCCTGCAGGCTGCAGGAGAGTACACGGTGGGGTCGGGAGTGGGCTGCGAGGGCGCTGTGGGCGGGGCCTGGGCTGGCCATCACACAGCACTCACAGCAGGGATGCTCCGCAGCCAGGTGGCCTCCAGGGAGCCCTCACCTAGCCAGGCCACGGAGGCCAGCGGACACCACTCACCACTGTGCTGCGGCCCCAGCCCCACCTGGGGCTTCTCAAGTCTCGGTTTGAGGGTCCTTCTGCTCCCCGCTCCTGTGAGCCCTGAATTGCCAAACTAGATCCCAAGTGTCACTGCCTTTTATAACACTCAACCCTCCTGAAATTATTTCTTTAACTTCTGCTGCGCTCAACCAGGAGGGCAGTCGCTTGGGAGCATCTTGTTCTCTCTACTTTGCCTGCCTCACACAAATGGATGGGTATGTGGGTGGATGAACGGGTGGGTGGGTAACAGATAGGTAGATGGTCAGCAAGGTGGATGAAAATAGATAAAACAGAGAACACACGAAGGAGCATGACCAAGGCCGGGAATTTAGCTCAGTGCAAGCAATAATGACAGCCATGTGGGTTGGAGGAAAACTCACCCATCTCCGTAAGCTTGGTGGGTGGTCAGTGCAGTCACAAGGACCCCCAGAAGGGCCCCCAGGACCCCCGGCATCCCATGGAGATTGTGAACACCACAAGTGTCTTGCACTTTGAATTTGGATTCAAGGATGGGCTGGAGGACAGGACGGAGAATCAGGTTCCAGTGCCCTCTCCCACCCTGCCCTGGGCTATGGGGAGGTGGGAAGAAAGCAGCTCTGTTCTGCCCAGGGCCAGAGAGGCAGCTGTACCGTGAGGAACTTGTACCCCAGCGTGGAGACGGTCCCCGCCAAGAAGCCAGCTGCCAGGGCCCCAAAGGGAGTCAGCATCATTTCACCCGATGTGCCCACCACAACCCCGCCAGCCAGCGCTGCGTTCTGGACGTGGACCTAAGGACACGGGGCAGGGCAGGGCAGCTGAGGCCTCGCCAACCCTCACACCCACACGGAACCCAACACCACCCAGCAGACACCCACTGCTTTCCCTTTCCTGCTTTCATCCCGGCTCCTCCTGCTCTGCGCCCCCAGCAGGGCAGAGGGGCCCAGGCTCATCCCTCCTCGACACTTCCCTGCAGGGCTCAGTCCTCCCTGTCAGCTGTCCCTGTGCCGCCCCAAGGCCCTTCTACACACCATGTCGAGCCGCCCGTCCCTGCCAACCAGGGCTGACAGGGCGAAGGTGCTGAGCGTGCTGGCGGCCAGGGAGTAGTAGGTGTTGAGGGCTGTCCGGTGCTGCGTGTCCCCCAGTGACGTGGGTGCAGAATTGAAGCTCGGCCAGAAAATCCACAGGAAGATGGTTCCTGAGGGGGCAGCCAGGCAGCGAGCAATTCCAGATGTTCAATGCGAACAAGACGCCTGCTCGGCCTGGAGGTGCTAACCACTCAGCAATGGCAGCTACCAAGGCGTAGCACAAAGCCACCGCATCAGGGTTTTCATAAAGTAACAGGAAAGGAGAGCGGAGCCAAGCGGTGGCGCACACCTATGGTCTCCGCGCTCAGGAGGCCGAGGTGGGGAGGACCGACGGAGTCTTGAGGCCAGCCTGGGCTACATGGCGAGACCTTGTCTGCGGGGGGTGGCCAGGATTTAGCTCAGTGGTGCCATTGCCTGCCTTGCAAGTGCAAGGTCCCAAGTTTGATCCCTGGTACCAAAAAAAAAAAAAAAAAAAAAAAAAAAAAAAAGGAACACACAGAAGAAATGGACGGATTCCTAGCTACATATGAATTACCAAAGCTGAATCAAGAAGATATAAAAATCCTAAATAGCCCAATATCAGTCAAGGAAATTGAAGGTGTAATTAAAAACCTATCTACAACAAAAACCCCAGAGCCCAATGGTTTCACTGCTGAATTCTACAAGAAATTTAGAGATGATCTGATACCACTACTCCTCAAACTCTGTAATGAAATTGAAAGGGAAGCAATACTCCCAAAGTCATTCCTGGAAGCAAGCATCACCCTGACACCAAAACCAGAGAAGGATTCAACCAAAAAAGAGAACTACAGGCCAATCTCACTAACAAACATAGATGCAAAAATCCTCAATAAGGATACTGACAAACAGGATGCAGCAGATCGTCAGGATCAGACACCCTGACCAAGTGGGATTCATCCCAGGGATGCAGAGATGGTTCAACATCCACAAGTCAATAAATGGATCCACCACACTAACAGGACCGAGGACGAAAACCACGTAATCATCTCCACAGCAGCAGAGAAAGCATCAGACAAATGCCAACACCCATTCATGGTAAAAGCCCTACAGAAAACTGTAATAGGTGGTCTTTATATCAATCTGATAAAAGCCATCTATCACCAGGCCCAGCTTGTAACATCTAAATCTTGGAAACAGCTCAAATAGCTGTTAACTGACAAATGGATAGAGAAGATATGGTTTTCTTTGCACAGTGGAGCACTACTCTTCCATAAAAAGGGTAAGTCGGAGACATTTATAACTAAATGGATGCACCTTGAGACCATACTCTTTAGTGAAATAAAGCGGACACACGTGCTTAAATACTGCATTGTTTCTCCGGTGTGAGAAACTGAAAGTGGAAATAAGGACCAAATATAAAAAAGAGATACTGGGAAATGGGAAGAAAATGTTCAGACAGGAAGGGGGAAAGGAAAAAAGGGACAAGAAAAAAGAGAGAATCGAAGGAAGAAATGGAAACAACGGTTTTGTAAATAAGGAGGGGAAGAGAGGCTGAAGGGAGGATGGGAAAAAAGGAGCAAGATGTAAATTCCCTATGGTGAGTGTGATCTAAAATGTACCCATAAGTGTTTTGCTAAAAAAAAGGGAAAGGTAGAAGGTAAAGTCCAGGCACACTAGGCACCACAATAATACACAGGAAAACAAGGTGCTTATAACTGCAGCCCCTGACAGAGGCTGTCTGCTGCGTGCTGCGTGCTGTGTCCCCCGGCCAGCCCTGCAGGCCAGTCCTGGTGGAGACAGGGCGGGGATAAGGGACAGGAAGGCTGCGGGATGGTGGTGAGCCAGGTGCAGGAGGCATAGGGACCCCTCAGGCCTAAGTGGCCCAAGGGCTGGGTAAATCCACCACCCCAAGCACCGCCTCCAGGTGGGACCTGGGGAGGAAGGGCAAGCAACGGCCACTGCCTGCCGCCAGACTCACACCCAGCAAACCGAGCTGCGGCAGAGGCTTCGGAAGCTCCCGGATTGTGGTGGGTAGCTCAGGGCAGCCTTTGGGCTTCAGGCCAAGCTTATCCCAGTCTTGTGGGGCAGGGACGCCCAGGGAGGAGAAGGCAGCTGGGCAGGCGGGGTGCTAGGTCTGGCTGGAGCTGCAAGGGAGGGTGACAGCAGGGGAGGAAAGGGGCAGTGCCCAGGACGAGGGTCCCCGGGCCCCAGGAGCCCTTGAGCAGGCCTGGGTGGGTTCTGAAAGACCCCTGGGGAAGGTCTCAGGCCTGAGCACACCCTAGAGCTGGATCAGAATCCAGATGGGAAGGGGTTGCCCTCCCCAGCCACAGGCAGCATCCAGACCCTGGAACGCGGGCACCCAGAACCAGCGCCCGCACCGCCCCCTCCTCTGGCCTCACCAATCATGGCAAAAAGGTCGGAATGGTAGGTGGAGCTCTGGCGGTGCTTGCTCTTCTCCAGCCATGGCCTGTAGAGGACCCGAGAGACGACCAGCCCGAAGTAGGCGCCAAAAGTGTGGATGGTCATGGAGCCCCCAGCGTCTCTCGCCTGGGAAGGGAGGAGGCCGAGGAGGAGGCGGCCCTGCCCCTGCCCGCGGCTCTGCCCCTCAGCGCCCGGCCACACCCAGCCCGGGCACACTCACCCCCAGGAGGTCGAGGAGCACAAACTCGTTGGTGCCGAACAGCAGCACCTCCAGCAGGGCCATGAGCAGCAGCTGCGCAGGCCCCGTCTTGCCCAGGACGGCCCCGAAGGAGATGAGCAGGGCGCCCGCACAGAAGTCCGCGCTGACCATGCTGAGGTCGGCCGGGGGAGGAGGAGAGGGGTGGGAAGTGGCCAGGCGGTAGCCTGGCATGCGGGGAGGGCGGGGGGCAGGAGCCACGCTGTTCCCGGGCTCACAGCTCACAGCGGACGGAAGGACCAGCCACTGCCCGCCCCACCACCTTCCCGGTGCCAGCAGCCCGAGGGTGACAGGGCCCCGAGGAAGAGAGGCAGCGCCAGCCCCGCAGATGGGTCCACAAGGAGGCTTAGGCGAGAGGACCCGGGCAGTCAGGGAGGACTCCGATGCCCACCTCTCCACGCTGACGTGGATGTGGCTGCCGTGGAACGAATGGAGGAAACCCTGGACCAGTGTGGACCACTGCAGGGCAAAGGCGGCCAGGAGGAAGGTGAAGCCCACGCTGCTGAAGCCGTAGCGATGCAGGAAGACCATGAGGAAGCCGAAACCCACAAAGACCATGGCGTGCACGTCCTGGAAGCCTGCGGGCGCGGGGGTCCAAGGGCCCTGGGCTTTTCTGGCCACAGCTGACCATCAGCAGAGCAGCCACCCTGCCCTGCCCGGCTCGAACCAGCCAGGGCCACACTGAGGTGCAGCCAGGCCCATAAAGCTGCCAGCCCGAGCCACCCGCACAGAGCAGGCCAGCTTGGGGCAGTGGGACCCAGACTACCCCCGCTGCGCCCGTGTCAGGCAAGGGTCTGGAACCTTCTGCTCTGATTTGCTCTCTCTGCCCTACTCACTAGTCCCACCCCGGGTCTCTTCCAGCTGACCAGTTAAAAGTCCAAACTATGTCCTGCCCCGCTGCAGTCAGGCCCTGCCTGCCATGCTCAAGACCTTCCCTTTAGCTTTCTTTTCAATTTCTCCTTCCCGCTGGGACATTCTGCTGGATGTCTAACTTCCATCCCTCATCCATCAGAGTGGTGGCTCACGCCTGTAATCCCAGCACTCGGGAGGCTGAGGCAGGAGGATCGCGGTGAGTTCAAGACCACCCTGGGCTACATAGTGAGTTCCAGGTCAGTCTCAACGACATAGTGAGACCCTGTCTCAAAACAAAACAAAACAAAACAAAAAAAAACCCAGCCAAACAAGACACTTCTAGTCCAAAACATTTCAGATAAGGGATATTCAAGCTACACACAATTTCTGTTGTAAATTACCTCAAATCTCTTGGAGAAAGAAGCAGATTATGAGGGGAAAAAAAAGTCCTGGTCACTTTCTGCTTAATCTAAAGAGACACCAACAAGCCAGGAAATTATTAATGAACTTTGGAATACAATCTATATAACTTTAAGAGAAACAATCTCATGCTTTGTGGGGTGCTGTGTGTAAGGGTAAAGAGGAAATTAATTCACAAGCAGGGGTTGGATTGGGCTGGAGTCTGTGGGCCAAAGCTCAGCCAAGCCCAGGACCAGGGGCAGCGAGGGGCGGAGCCTGCCGGCCTCCTCAGGGCAGCCCTCCCTCCACCTGCTCCCCAGGCACCTAGGTCTCAGGATCCAACAGAAAGGGGGGCAGCGCTTAGAGCCAATGCCGAAGCCCAGTTCTCGGAGGACTGGCTGCTGTGCCCTCTTCCTTGCACCACATATCTGTTTTCATGGCCAAGGACAGCAAGACAACAAGGGCACTGGGCCCATTCCATGCCCAAACACTGCCGGAAATTGTCTTAGATGGCAATGATTACATCTCCTTATCCAGGTTTGTTTGCAAACAAAACTCAATTTCTTGGCGTTCTGGCTGGAGTCTAAACACCGAACAGCCTCCCTCCCCAGGGAATGCCCCACGGACTCTCCCTGAGCTCTGCATGGTGAGAGGTTATTCTGGCTGGAGCTGGACATGGTTAAGATGACCAGTACACACACCTTCTGGGGTCCCCATGGGGTGAGCTAGAGCCTGCCCTCCAAACCCACCCCCGTCCCATAGGAATTCAGTTGGAGAAGCTACTGCCCTCCCTCCACCCCTCACTACGGGGCGAGGCGGCAGTTACAGGAGGCCTTTAGTGTCAGACAGACTGGATCAAAACTGGCTCCCCCACCTTCTGACTTTGAGACTTTGGACAAGCCACTTGGCTTCTCTCAGCCTCAGTTACCTGTTCTGTAAAGCATAGGTATAAAACAGAAGTAGGAAGCTGGGTGTGGTGGTGCACACCTGTAATCCCAGTGCTCAGGAGGCTGAGGCAGGAGGATCACCAGGAGTTCAAACCCAGCCTGGGCTACATAGCAAGTTCAAGATCAGTCTGACCTACATAATGAGACTCTATCTCAAAAAAAGAAAAGAGAAAAAAGGAGGAGGAATAGGAACAAGGGAGGAAGGAGCAGGGGCGACTGTCCTCCCACTCCACTCCCACCAGCCTCAGGAGGACAACTGCCTATATTCTCTCCAAGAGCTCATGGGGCCTCTGGCCCTCGTCATGTCCCTCATCCCTCACCTCCTCCAAGAAGATCCTGAGTGCATCGACCCTAAATCCCTCTCCGCACAAGTAAGGTTTTTAAAAAGACTGAGAATGAGAGACTGAGATGTCTTTTAAAAGACTATCCAGAGCCAGGCGTGGTGGCACACAGCTGTGATCCCAGCACTCAGGAGGCTGAAGCAGGATGATTGCAAGCTAAAGCCCCGCCTGGGCAACTTAGCAATTTAGCAAGATCTTGTCTCAAATTTTTTGAAAAGGCTGGGGGCTGGGGATGTAGCTCAGCGGCCCCACATCTGCTTCACAAGCACAAGGTACTGAGTTCAATCCCCAGTACACCACCACTCCCCACACGCAAAAAAAAAAAAGCCTGGAGACAGATCAGTCCCGGTACCAAACAAACAAACAAATAAATAGACTGTCCTTTTTTTTTTTTGGTACCAGGGATTGAACTCAGGACCTTGCACTTGCGATGGAATGTCCATTTCTTTCCTTAAAACCTGTTCTCATATTTGCTTCCACAGCCATTGTCACCAGGGCTTCTTTCCTGCCTTTCTTATTTTCCATCACTTGCCTCATGGAATAAGAAAAGAGGTGTGGACCGGGTGTGGTGGCACACACCTGTAATTCCAACACTCAGGAGGCTGAGGCGGGAGGATGGCTGTGAGTTCGAGACCAGCCTGGGCTACATAGTGAGTTCCAGGTCAGTCTCAACTACATTGTGAGACCCTGTCTCAAAAAAAGAAAAAAAAAAGAGGGTGTGTAGTGTGGGTAGAAGCTCTAGTATGGGAATCAAGAGACCACTTCTAGCCTGGCTCCTTTTGAAAGCTGCCATGTAACCTTGGCCAGCTCACAGGACCTTGCTGGCTCCCTCCGCAAGTGGGAGACGGTTGACCAGATGTCCAGAGGCAGACCATACAGGACCCACAGTGGACCTGCGCTAGCAATGGCCAGCCCAGAGCTCGCCAAGAGCTGCGGGCTCCCTTTCATCTCCTGAATCAAAGGGCAATGACTGCCTTCCCTGTGACCCTGACCCCTGCCCTGGACACAGGAACAAGTGAGAAGCCGGCTCATCACCCGGGTCCTAGGGACTTCACAGGCTTCTCCTGCCCAAAGGGCCAAAGTCCACAGGAATGGCAACCTAGAGCCCAGAAAGAGGCAGAGTGTCCTGTTGTAAGTGGGGGAAGCAAGCAAAGAAGGAAGGAAGCCAGGCCGGCAGAATCCCGGGCCATGTTCTTGCTGCGCTCCCGGAGTTAGTTGAAAGCCACATATTGAGAACCCAGCACTGCAGCGGCACAGGGCGAGGCTGGACTCCAGGGTGCTTTGTAACAGGTGGGGCTTCAGGCCCCAGGGAATTCAGCACGGGGCGGGGGGGGGGGGGCCCGAGGCTCAGGGGAAGCAGCCAGCTCAGACCTCCGCTCTCTAGCTTCCCCTTCCCTCCTGACTCCTCTCTGAATGAATGAAGGGCTCAGCGGTCTGCAGCCCATCTCTGTAGCTTAGGTCTGGGTTCGTCTTTTCCAGCATGGCTGGGGGTCACACGTGAGGGAGAAGCTGTTGGCCTCTTCCTAGGCTGGCCCAGGTCAGAGCTTCCTGCCCAAGTCCGAGACTCTACCTCACACTTGAAACTTCTCAGCACTGTGGCCTTTGTTTTGCTAGGGCTGAGACAGGACAAGGCCTGCCACCAGCTCTGCAGACAGAAAGTGAGGTAATAACAGCCTGGGTTGTTTTATAGGAGACTTGCACACCCTACGCTTCGTTGAATGTCTATCCTTTACAGAGGCATTCATCTTCCTGTTGCTCATATGGGGGAAACTGAGGCCTCGAGAAGACCTGCTTAAGCATTTGTGATGAGAGTAGGATGTCTGATGCCCCTTGCCAGCCATAGTGGTACACACCTGTAATCCCAGTACTTGGGAGGCTGAAGCAGGAGGATCCCTGTAAGTCCAAGGCCAGCCTAGGCTATATAATGAGTCCAAGACCAGCCTCTAATTATATAGCTAGACTTGCCTCAAAAAAAAAAAAAAAAAAAGGCAAGGCCCCCAACCTTGAGGGGCTCCTTCCCCATGGGGGACACCCTCCCCCTCCTGAATCTTGTCAGCAAGTGATTCCAGCTCTGCCCCTCACATAACACAACGGAGGTCACAACCCCTCTGAGACACCTTCCTCCCTGTGAAACAGGCCAATAACCCTGCCATGGCTCCTTCTCATGACTAGCGGCGGCCGCCCTGTGGTCAGCCGGTTCTCTGACTCTGGAAGCGTCAGCTTTGGGGTCCTGGGAAGAAATGCCCGAGCCCAGGCTTGACAGCCCACAGGTGGGAGGGCTTCACACCCAATCCCTAGCCAGGGCCCTGGCACCTTCTGCCTACCTCTCCTGCCCAGCAAGATTCTCCTTCCTGTGGTCGGGGTGGAGCCCCTAAGAAAGGCAAAGGTCTGGCCTTCCAAAGCCCAAGAGGGCCGGGCAGGAGGTGGGCAGGAGAGTGTCACAGCTAGGGCTTTGGGTCTGGTTCAAATCCAGCTCCCCACTTCAGACTGTGACCCCAGCCACTTCGGTTCCCTGCGCCTCAGCTTTGTCGCGTGGGCTAAATGAGAACTCGCAGTTGCCATCCTCAGCCCTGCACCTGGAACCCAATGACTCTAGAAAGAAGGGGCCCTTAGCTCCCCAGAGGGGAGATCGGAGCCCCGAGCCCCACCCAAGACACCCGGGAGCTTGGGGTGTCTGTCTGCCGTACCCCGCACTCACTTGGGTAGCGAAAGTAAAATTCATTGTCTGCGTTACTGTGGTTGCCCCCGTGCCAGAGGGCAGCATCAGTTTCGCGGTTGTAGCGAACGAAGATGGCAAAGAGGATAGCGGTGGCTCCCTGGAAGAAGAGGCACAGCAGCGGCAGCTGCAGACGCCGGCCCCCGGCGCGCCGG